CTTCATTTTTTTTTTTACACCGCGCTTTGTTAAAAGCAATACCTGTTTAGTTGTTGAAGAAGCTGCTCACCAGTACGAGAAATGTTTGTTTTTTTCATGAATTCCCACAGAGGTTTTAACTTTATCTGTATGAAAATGTATCAGTGTAACTGATAGCTTGCATGAAATCATGTATGTTTGTTGAGTTGATTGGTATATTTTTTATTTCATTTTCTCATTTTTTCTCTCTCTTTATTATTAATTTATTATTTATTCATTTTTAAGTTGTTGTTTTATGGTTGTTGTTGTTTTTTGTTTGTTTGTTTGTTTGTTGTTGTTGTTGTTGTTGTTTGGGGGGTCGTCTTCTTGAATAATTGAATGTTTGTTGGTTAATTTTGTGATGGGTGTTGTGTTGTAAAAAGGGTGGGTTTGGAATGAAAGGCTGTTGTTTAGAGGAGTATAAATGTACAGCTTGCAGAAAGTGAAAGTGAAATTCAAGTTTGACGTTCAAAAGTGAGTCAAATCAATCAGTCCGCGTGCCCGTACAAACTGCAAGTTTATGTAGTTGTCGCTGACCGCCGCACGCATCAAGCATCTATTTACTCTGGCTTTTTAGTAATTATTATAATGCGCAGTTTTTGTAACCAAGGCACAATTTCTTGCTTTCAGATTTGCTTCCTGCCTCAATTTTTTTTTCAGGTTTCATTACTGCTTTCCATGAGCTATTATGAATATGATAAGAACGACTCTTAATCATGACGTTGAAGGCGTAGAAGATGTCCTACTTACTAATCGTATTTAATAGGCGTACTATGTTTTTACACTCGTGGTCTGTCCCTTGTGCAAACGCGGTTTGTTGTTGTTTGGGGTTTTTTTAAAATAAAAGCTGCATCCACTTATCTTTCGGCCTGGAAATAAATACGTCTATAGTATAAGAATGACAGCGATACGTTTTGCTTTGTTACGGCATTGCAAGACTTCTGATCTAGATATTGTTTGGTTACAGTCAAGATAATCATTTTTCTTCTTCCTCGTTCTCGATGACAGCAGCGAGACAGTCAGTCCGATGTCGCGTGCAAACTGTGTAGTTCGCTTCAACTCTGAGAGACTGCCACGTCTGTGCGCGAAATCATAATTATTCTAATTTTAGGTTTTAGATGAACGTTATTCGCCCAGATAATCCATTGTCATTACTTCCATGTTGTTGTTTTTCAATGCACACTTTGAATGCTTATAAGTGTACGTGAGTGTGTTTGGGGGGGGGCGGGTGAGTGGTAGCGTAGGCGTGCGTGTGTGTCTTTATCTCGATGAAGCTTTGTTATGACACGAGTGTGTCTGTTATCTCGATGAAGCTTTGTTATGACACGAGTGTGTCGAGTGAAGGACATCCTACTTCTTCTAATTTAGTTCCGGTCTTGTTTCTATCTGATGACCCCCGCCCCCCTCCTCCAACAAAAAACCCCAGTGTAGTGTGTGTAGCTAATACTGGAGAGTAATCCAGACTGTTGTTGTCTCAGCTATTGAGCACACTCAACAGCACTACAAAAGTGATCTACAGAGAAATAAGATACAATGTAAATATGTAAACAATAAACGAAGTTATTGAACTTTGATTTTTTAAACCTTGAAATTACTTGGTGAAAACGAGTAGTCACCCTGCCTTGGCTTGGCTTTGAATATTTGAGCTCAATGACGTTATGATTTGCCGGCAAAGCGTTCACGTTTTGCCTTTGAAAATCAACTCATAATTAATTATAGCGTTTGAGTTGAGTATCGTAGTTCACCAGGATAATATTGTTGCTAAAAAATACCGGTGTAGGCGATGTGCAGCGTTATCTTCACCAGCTCGCAGTGTGAACCGTTCGTGGAGAGTGTCGGGCTATATCCGTGTCCTCATTGCGCCATGCTGTAACTCGCTTCCGCTTCTCAAGTTTCGTCATCTCTGACTATGTAGGCCTATTTTTCATTTGTCGTTGTGGCCTATAGGTCTTGTCGCTCTCTCCAAGCTCTAAAAAAGAAAAAAGAAAGAGTTATCACTTCGATATGCTTCTTTTGACTTAAAACTGTTGCTGATATTGTCTATTCTATTTGAAGTAACAGACAAAACAAAAAAGGAAAAGACCAAAAAATCCTAACCCAAAACAGAAGCAAAAAGAAAGAATCCTCTTATGATAATTGCCCACACGTTTTCAGTAGCTTCGTTTCGTTTTAGTATGCTTTGCGGTACTTTCAATACACATAGGTCATTATATAAGTGACGAAGATGTGAGGTGTTTCAAGCGAGTTACACTCAAATAACAGAAGAAGGAGAGATAAGGACGATTTACGTTTGACAGGAAAGAAGGAGAAAACCATACCCAGGGCACCCACCAACCACCCACTCGAATCAGTAGCTTCGTATTTTTTAATGGAGAAAAAGTTGGCGGTGTGTATTTTTTTTTTTTAAAGAAGCTTTTTGGGAGTGTAGTCACGAGAGGACCTTTTCCGTCTCTTGTACTCTTATATGTCTGGTCCCGACTCGAAAGCGGTCACAGCGACATGGAGTGCACTTTGACGGGACTGAAATTGCTCTCTTCAAATAGATGAACACTAAGGCTCTTCTAGCTTTTGTGTGCTCTCACGAGCCACATTTTTTTGTGTGTAAATATGTTGCTGCGAACTAAATAAAACTGTTTTATTCGCGTTGTTCACCCTTAAGAATGTGTATACAGAAGAGAGCTGTTTAGTGCAGTAGTCTGAGGAAGCCCTTGTGCATACCTCGTAGTATATTTAGAAGTGGCTCAACTCAATCAATCTAACAGATTAAATGTTTAAAAAGAAGAGCTAGGTACAGGGTGTCAGGAGATAACTGCATGCTTGTAAATATATGTGTAAGTTTAACGTGAAACTTTCCCCACACCCCTGCATGTTGTAATCAGATTTCTTCTATTACTCATCCCTTTTTGTTTTTCATTTCTTTCTTTTTGTTTTTTGTTGTATCCCTTTTAACAATGTAGCGTTCGTTTCAGAATATGAATTAGTTAAGAATGGTGATAGTTCAGAACTATAAGTATCGCAGCATTATCAGGATCTATAATTCTTCTTTCTACAGAAGTGGCTTGTAAATAAATGTCATGTATGTAGATTTGACAAAGTTGTATACCGGTATTTAAAAGTTTATGTATTGTGGTTTCCAACGTGGTAACAGAACGTTCCTTCATGAATAGGGTACTAGCTGATTCTGATATTTTTATGCAGGCTACTTGTTTTCTGCAATAAATGAAATGCTGAATTCGAAAGATATGAGACAGATAATAAGAAACCACTGAGTGAAAGTCACAATTTGGGCATCTATCTGGGAAGTCTGCATTTGAAATGAATGTTTCTGTTAGTTGTACAAAATCAAAGATTATGCTAATAGGTGATTCTATGAGTTCCCGAAAATAACTGCATGAATAAGCAAAACGCAGCCTTATTTATTGAAACAGACTGTATAAATCAGGTGGACTGATTTAGCTCATTAATAGTACATTTCTTCTGCTGGAAAGTGTGATGGTTGGGTTTGTTTGATGTTGTTGTTGAGGGGGGGTTTGGATTTGTTTTTTTAAAAGATGTCAGTCGTAAAATAATGCGAATACCACATCTTAGATTCTCTACTGTGTGTATTTTGTCTATTTAGTCGAGGACTACTGTGTTTGAACTTCTTTTTCTGTTCCTGAGCTTGATATGTATTACGGTCGTCTCCATGTTTAGTTGAGTGCCACAATAATTGTCTTGACGTCCAGCGTCGTTGCGTCTGGTGTTGATAGAGAGAAAGAATGTTTAGAACTTAAGTCTTTGAAAGGTACCTTGAGTTTGTTGCGCGGTTCTTTCACTAACTTTAATCGATGAATGCATGTTTTGTCAATTGCGCCAGGTTTGATACTGTTACGGCTGACTAAAAAGATGGAGCTGACACATTTCAGTAACAATGGTGGAAAGCCTGATATAAGCTTACTATTATTCTTCTACAGACTAGGACTAGATGTTATATTTTTGTCTTTGTCTCGAATGAAGGAATGGGCATGTTATCCGTTGTAATAATAAACAGGCGGGAAATCTTTATTGTTGTGTCTTCAAATGAGATTTTAGTAAATGTCTTTGTCTGAAAAGAGGGATCAGATGCATTTTCAATAGTGATGAAACAGACTGTGTAGATTTGTTTTACTTGTGTGTATTATAGTTATCGAGTTTTCAGATTGGACGTTTGTGTTTGTTTTGTTTGTGAGTAAAGAAGGAGCTCCATAGTGGACCATGTTGTGTGTTCAGTCAGCTCAATGTAGCAGAGGTTAGGCCTCCATAACATCTCAAGAATCTGAGCGAGCGTGAATGAGATGCATCCATGTCACTATCAAAGTGGTGTATAATTTACTCAAATATGTCTGGGATCTTTGCATTTGGGAACAAGGTTCGATTGAAATACTTTTATCTCCTTGTAAGGTCAGGAACTGTGTAGCACTATCTAGCAACAATTATTAATTAATTTTTTTTTAAAGGTTAGTTCTTGGTGGGGTTGTGAGGTTGCTGGAAAGTTACACTCCTTTCCAGAAAGGGTAATTGGTTATTCTTAATAAATCATGGGTGAACTCTGTTCTACTTGAAACATCTAGCTTTCTGGAGAAGCAGAGGTGGGGCATGTTTCTTGTTTTTTAAGGAATCATGATTAAGTTTATGAAGAGCCCCTTTGTGAGTTAAAAGTGGGACAATTTCCTGTTAATGGATTCAATCTAGCAAATTGAAACCATACCCAGTGGGTTGTGTTGATGAATTGTAACCTTTTGCATACTATGGTTGTCATGACTTAAGGGGATCTGAGGTGACATAGAACTTCTTTATTTCTGAGAAGCTCAACCAATGATCAATCCATGAGACAGCAAGCATCAGTCTCAAATTCAGCCATACACTAAGATGTCTTGTTTACATGCGATTTTTTACAAAATTGCTACCGAGCTGTCCATTGTAACGAATCCTTCGTAAACCACAGTTCTTGTATTTCCTTTCAGGAAGAGGTAGAAAGAGTTGCTTCTGCATTTTTTGACAACCTTCTGGAGCCTCGTAAGCTGCAAGGTATTTATCTCCAGCGCCTAAGGACAAATTGTCTGCTTGATTGAATTTTAAAATGTTTTGAAATGGTTATGATGAATATTTGTTTCATTTTTATATCCCCCCCCCCCTCCCTCAATCCCCACCCCACTTTTCTTTTTTTTTTACTAAATGAGAAGTTTAAGTTTATTAGAAGTACTTGTTGATATGATAAGTATTAGGTTTTGATTTTTGTTTGTTTTGTTGCAGAGGGTTTTTACTGTATCCTAGTTTATTTTTGGAGTTATTGTTTTATTTTTATATCTGTCTTTGCTGCATTACCCCCGGGGCGGTACTACGGACTGAAGTATCTTTAGGCCATTCCCAAAGGGGGGACATTAACATGTTCTTATGCACAGTAGAATTGTAAATGGGCTGATTCATCATTGTCATGCTCATAACTGTGCCTGAACTGCAACAGGGAACTGCTGCTTTTCTTTCCTAATCTTTACTATCAACATTTTTCCTCTTCTTCTTTTGTATGTTTGTCACACTCTTGTGACCCGCTATTTCTGGGGTGCCTTGATAGTCGAAGCAGGCTTTGTGCTGTTGAAGCTAGAGAGGTGTGCAGAGTAAGCCTGATTCCCTGTAAGGACTTCTCTGCTGACATCCACCCTTTGACGCTCATATGATTTTATGCAGTTGCGAGCGCCGTAAAGCCTCTACTAAAACTAAAACAACTAAACTGTCTTTGCACTGGTATCTGTGGTGTAATGGTTAGATATTTGCCATCTTATGCAGAATGCTTGAGTTTGATTCCCTAGTGGAAAGAATTTTTATCGAGTATCTCTGTCTGCCTGCAGGCACGTAGTGTCCCTCTCATCCCAGATTGGCCCAAGTAAGTGGGATCAAAGCAACCCGCCTTCTGAATGATATAAATTGTATTGATGGGGGCAAAAAAACATCTACAATGACATATTAGTTTTCTTTCTTTGTTTGTTCTCATGTCAAGTGTAAGGAAACTTATTTCTTCTTTTTTTGACCTGTAGGAGAATACATCATTGCTGAGGCGGACAGTATTTTGATGTTTGCCCCTTTCTCAAACCGCAAACAAGGCATATCAGGACATCTATTTGTTACCAACTTCAAGATCTCTTTTGTTACGGCTGACAAGTCTTCTTATCCCGATGGAGATGTAAGTACTTTGTATTCTTGGTACACCAGCTTTTTATTTATGTACCTGTATGCACATTTGGAGCATGTACCATCAATGAACAAGATAAGAAAAGGATTGCAGCTTTCGAAATGAAATATTTTCGAAGAACCCTAAGAGTATCCTGGAGACAGAAAATAAAGAATGAAGAAGTATTAAGAAGAAAATGGTATAGAAAAACCAACACTCCTCCAGAACATAATGAAACTGGCTTTAGGCATTTATTCTTAATAAATCATGGGTGAACTCTGTTCTACTTGAAACATCTCTGGAGAAACATATAGAAGCAAAGATTGATCGTGAGAGAGGAAGGGGGTGACTTAACAGAAGATAGAAACAGGACATAGAAATCTGCTCTAGAACCATCAAGAGACAGAGTGTTTTATTGCACAAAGGTCTGAGAAGCAACGTCCAACTACTGGGAAAACTACGAAAAAGATGAAGAAGCTATTATATTTGTTCTTGTGCACAGGTATGTGGGATGGGGCCAGGACTCGGACATTAAACAAGCATTTAAACCTTTTCCCTAACTGCCAAACATGTTGGTTTGTTATCACATTGTTTTGTTAATATCGTGATTCCTTAAGGGGCACACTTTTTAATGGAGTTTCTGGGTAATTGAATTCTCTGAAAATCATACCAGATCTACTTGTCATTGGAAAGCTACTTAACTAAAAAGTATCTTGAAGTATGTCATAGTAATATTGGATTTCCAAGGGTCCAAAGACATGGAAGGCCAAATATAAAGACATCTTTGTTTGATCAAAATGGGGAACTCTGCACTACTGATATGTCAGGTTTTAAGGTAGAATGAGTTTGTTTTAGATGCTCTTCAATTATTTTTCAGCTAAGTTGTATGAGGCAAGAAAAGGAATTTATAAAGGTAATTAGCTTTTCAAGATTAGTAATGCACATTGGAAACTATCATGCTCTCATCTTTAGAATGACTCCCATGAACAAAAAATGGGATGTGTTTTCTGTTTGTACAGATATTTTTGTGTTTTTATGGTGCATAGCTTAATTGCTTTGGAAGAACAGCAAGTTGACGAATAATCAATTTGTCTTTTCCAGAACAACAGGTCTGCCCAAAGGAACAAGCTCATCGACAATACAGACATTCCATTGACTAATGTGGATGCTATATATCAAGGTAACATTTTAAGATGTTGAACCAGCATTTATTATCACTGTTTATTTTCTATTTGCTGGCATCTGTGGTGTAATGGTTAGGGTTTTCTCTCCTTTGGCTTAAAAAAAACTAGTAAAATTCCGATACGTGGACAATTTTTAATAGAGTATCTCTATCTTTCTACAGGGATGTGTATTATACAGCTTAAGTTTCCCATAACAGGCAGGGTCGAAACAGCCTGCCTCTTAAATAAAGAATTATTTTCTAATTTTAGACTTGCAAAGGAATACTGTCTTCCATACCTCAAAGTAATAATTCAAGAGGAGTAACAGATAAGAGGGTATGGTGGTGGAGCGGTCAGTGTGCTCGTCTCCGAAGCGGAAAGTCCGGGTTCGAGCCTCGGTTCAGACACAGATTTTTTCGTCCCCCCCCCTACCCACCCAGCCGTAATGAGTACCTGACTTCGAGTTGGAGAAGTAAAGGCGACGTGGAAAGGAACTGGCCACCCTACCAAAATATGCCGAAGGCCTAGGAAATTGTCTCACTAACAAGGCAATCCCCATTGTCCGGATCGAATGAAGGAACAACTTTACTTTACTTTACTTTATCCTGGCTTGTAAGACTTGAGCTTCAAAAGGCATCTTAGGCTTCTTGAAGACAGACACTCTTGAATATACAGAACCAATGTTTGGCGCTATTATGACCTTTCTACATTTCTAATGCCGTTATCGAAAAACTCTTTCTTTTGCTGTAAGATACATGTCATAAGCAAAAGCTATAATTTATCTCAGCACTGGAATAAGATTCAGGTTCCTGATATACAGTTTATGTTTTAATTTTCGTCATCTTTCTAGCTTACAGTCTGGTATAAGGAATCTTTTAGTATTATTTGAAATTGTAGTCTGTTTAATTTGCTTATTTGTCTCTCTACTTTTTCAGCACAAATTAGAGAATTCTTTCAGCGAAGTGAAGCGTTTCTTTGTGAGTAGGACATAATGTAGGCTACTGTTATAGCCCTCATATGACCTTTTGCAGTTGTGAGCGCTGTAAAACCTCTACTAAAACTAAACTAAAGGCTACTGTTATACCATGTGTCTCTACATTTTAGTTTGGCTTTGTGTTCAGCTTTGAATATTTATTTATCTGCTTTTTTCAGTGGCGACTGGGGCTCGGAGAAAAAAACTTGTTCCAGGAAGCGCAGTGACAACTCCTACTAAACATTTGGAAATCCATTGTAAAGTAAGTGTTTGGTGTTTGACTCTACACAAGTTCTCAAAAAGATTAGCAATTTGTCAACTCCTATTGTAAAAAGTGGTACTTGAAGAAGCTCTTGGTAGACTTTTGCCTGAATGCTTACATACATTTTTTTCACCCTTTTTGGGGGGTGTTTTAGGGTTTTTTTTGGTTTTCCAATGTTGGAATGAAAATGTGGAAAGTTTGAAAGAATTAATACAGATACTTTCAATGTGAACCTTTACAGAGCCATTTTGTTATCATTTTAAGGACAAAGTGTGTCCAAATAAGAGACATGTACTTTCTTTGATATAATTTTTAAAAATTGAAGCAACTTCTGTGGAGCTTTTCTCATAGTTGTTTGTACACATTGAACTTGAATCCAAAGGATGAATACTGTGATTTAGTTATTTATATTTATATCCTATTTTCCAGGATTTTCAGACCCACGTTTTTGGTTTCAAGTTCACGTCGAAAGAACAGAACAGACAGGTAACATATCTAATGAAGTCATGTAATGGTCTTTGTTATGCTTTTAGATTGCCTTAGTGGTGCCAAATTTTTAAAAAAGTTTTATATATCTCTTGTTCGGAGTTTGGTGCGTTTCAGCACTGCCAGATGAAGAAGAAGTTATACATGTAGGCCTATATCTTTTTGATTTCCAACTTTTCTTCCTCCTCTTCCTCTCGTTATTTCAATAGATCATACTTTTTCCCTCTTCTTTCATTAACTTTTTATTTGTTTCCTCCCTTTTTACAAAGCCGTTAAATAACCATTATTCTGTTTATGTGCTTCTCCTTAGCTCTCGCACTTAGGCAGATGATAATAATTACAGTGATCATGATCATTATGACAATGCTGTGCTGCTATTAATGATATTGATTGTCTCTGTGGTTAAGATAATGATGTAGATTGCTACTTCAGCTGAAAATCAAGTTCAAATTGTTTCTTGACCTTTTATGGAGGTGGGGGTTTGGGGGGGAGGGGTGTGCACTTTAACATGTGCACCTATTTTTTCTTCCCTGTTTTCTTGCAGTATGCAACTTTGTCTATCAGACAGATAATTTGTAGAATACAACAATGTTACAAATATACCTTGTTTCTGTAGGTGACGAATGCTGTTATGGTGTACTCATTCCCTGCCAAAGATGACTTACTGTTTGCCTACGAGTTTGGGCACAAGAGTCAACAGGAAGGGGGTAAGTAGACAAGTTCTAAATGGTTATTTGCTCTAGTGTCACTCTCCAACCACCCTCAAATCTTATTTGTGTTCATAGTTGGAGAAAGACACTAAAGTAGACCCTACTTCTTTACTCTCCCTCTGCTGTTTCTAACGTATCCTGTTTGCTTTTCCTTAGCGCTGAATGACTTATTTTGTACAGGTGTGCTTCTTTTTACCCAGACTAAACTGGTCTCAGCGTTCTGCCATTTGTGGGTGGAAGATGAGTGCTATGTGTGTGGTTTGCTCCTTTTTTCCTGTCAAAGATCTATCGTCATTATCTCTCCTCCTTCTCTTTTGTGTTTGTTACTTTCTTGTAACACCTCTAATTTCCAGCTTTTATATGGAAAGTGACGTTAAACGCTTATTGAAACAAAACTCACTGACATTTACTTATTTGCTAGGCACTGTTTGTAATTATTATATCAGCTCATCATCTGAAGTTCTTTTCTACAGTTGTGTATTCCTTCAGAATTGGGAATGTCATATTTGATTGAGTATCGTGGTGGGCTAAGGTGCAGTTGGCCCTGGTTTGAATTCCCAATGGGACTCTCTTGAAATTATTATGTTGAAGAAGTTTTCAATTGTCTTTTTTTATTCTTTCTAGGGGGTGTAGATATGTAACATGTCAATATCAGTGATTGTTATCTTTACATCACCTCAAGAAACTGATTTCCATTTGGTATTGTATTATGTTATTTTGTGTCTCAGGCTTTTAGCGATCATTTGTGTTGGTGCGTGGAGGGTGCCACTGGTATGCCCTACTTTTTTACTCTCCCTCTGATGTTTCTGTTGCATCCTTCTTTGCTTTTTCCTAGCTCTTATTTGCCCATATTGTATGGATGTGCTTCTCTTTACTCAGTTAAACAGGTCTCAGTATATATTCATTTATGTGGGTGATTGCCAGGTGCTCTAATATAGTTTCCTCCTTTGTTCATTAAAAATATTTATCGTCCTTATCTCTCCTTCTTTTCTTTAACGTCTCTAATCTTCGGCAATTATATGACCTATTTGTGTTGCAAATGTCGTTAAATGCTCACTAGAACTAAACTGCTAAAATTGAAATGTCACTTGCTCATATGTTTTATTTTGGTTGTGATTATCAGAAGCTCCGCAGCCAGAGTTTTATGAGCGGGATCACTGGGAGAGAGAGCTGGAGCGACTGCAGTGTCAGTCCATGTGGAGAGTGGCAGACGTGAACATCGGTTATTCCGTAAGCACAAGGTATAGTTCCTAAATTATCTAATGTCATTATGCATAATATGCATATTGGAAAGTAAAGTCATGTGGCCTTTGTCACTACATATGTGTGCCATGTACAGCTTGATCTTTGTGATATTAACTGAACTTGTGAATTCTAAACAGTTATTTTGTAATAGTTTCTATATTAGTGGACATACAAGCATTGACTGCACCAACCGAACTGCGCCTTATACTTGTAAGTGAACTGTGGGTACAGAAATTTTTGCGAGAAGAATTGAGCTCTTTGTTTGAGATATGAGAAATCCCACCGAAAAATGCACGAATTGACATTTTGCTTTTTGATTTGAGCAGTCATGGTGTAAGTGAACATTGATGTAGGTCAAAGATTTTTTTCAGATGATAAAGGTATGTAAATTTTGGTGTATTAGTTAAAAAAAAGGTTGAGTCAACTTTATGTCCTTTATGGACCTCAAAAGTCATAATAATGGAATGCTATTTTTATTATATTATTTACTCCTCGGGCTCCAGTGCTTAATTTTTAAAAAGTGAACTTGAAAAAGACTTAATTTATTTTCTTTTTTCTGAACATCTTTTCCTTGTGGGTCTGTTGATAGTAGTATAGTAAGACCTTGAGATATTGTTGTGTGTTGGAAAAACAGGAAAATGAAGACAGGTCTATTAGTGTTTCAAGCCTATGTATTCTGTGATTGTGATTTTCATGTGTTTATTTTACCACTTTATTCTGTGATGGATCGAAGAGATAATTCCATAACTAAAACAAACTGTTAACGAGAGAATAATACATATCGTGTTTGAAAACAAAAAAATGGCTGATCAACAGAGAGAGCGAGTGCTGATATGTCATAAAAACAAAAGATTGTCATTATACTTTTGATTGTGGTTTTCAGTTTTTGATTCTATGCTTGGAAATATTAAACTTCAGAGATAAGATCTCGTGCAGGGTCTGAGTGTGTCAATTGAGAAAGCATTTACAAACTCACATTGTTCGGACATAACTTTGTGTGACAGATTTCACTCTTCTTCTGATTGCAGCCTACCTGAGTATTTTGTGACTCCGATAAAACTTCTGAACACAGACCTTGAGAAGGCAGCAGCTCAGTTCACAGACAATCGAATTCCGGTAAGCTGATGTTTTCTTTTGTTAAAGTAATATCAAGGCGTATTTTGCTCTGAATTTTGTTTATTCGAACTCCACCTTTTACATGATAGACATGAAAGGACTTATTTGTTCTCATGATATAGTTTTTCTTGCAGCCTTTGGTAGTTATTATTACAACATTTAAAATGGTTGCTTTTAAGGACAAGCGGGCTAACCCAGATTTCGCGAGTGTCCAGAAATCTTGACCTACACCAAAAAATGGGCACTTCCCCACCTATAGGAAAAGTTTGGTTTTATTGGTGTGTATATTTGTTTGGTTATTGGGAAAACTCTCATTGTCTTTTAACGAAAATGAACAAGGGGCAGAAACTTTACCTTCGATTTTCTCAAAACAGCATTTTTCGGGATAGCCCCCTTGTGCCTAAAAGTACCAAATAAGATATAGACACTTCAGTGCGAGTAGGTTTTCCTTTTTCTCTCTCTCAATTTCTTTCACTCACCACATGCACACACACACCTACATGCACACACACGCACATACATTTGTCACCAATACTGTTCTGGTGGTTTGTTCCAAAGTATAAATATGGTGAGATGTAAAGGTTAGACATGGCACACCCACATATCTTGTAACCTATGTGAATAAAATAGAGGTCATTACCGTCAACTGGTGTGTGTTCATGATTAAACCCGTCTCTGTTGAATGTCATTGCAATTTTAGTACATCACATTTTCCAAAGGTTTGAGGGTTAACATGCTATAGAAACTTCCCTGCAGGTGGGAGGCCCCATAGTTTTACAATGGGGAAGCAAAGATTGGCTAAAGGGGTGTTCACCTGGTCTACCAAAAAAAGCTAGTTGGTGGAGGGCCAAGAACTACCGGCCCCCATAAAGACTCAAATGTTATGGAAAACCGAATTAATGCATCAAATTTTTGCTGATCTTGGAAGACAGGGAAGCTTCTGTACCATCCCGATGTACAGAAAAGTTGAAAGAAATATAGGGGAAAAGGGGTCAAAAATAAAAAATTTGTGTTAGTGGCCTTTACTCTCATCAGGGGTGAGAAAGGCAATGATGATGGTGCGATGGGGTATTTATTTAGGTTAGAAGATTTCAAAAGAATGCATAATACTGATGGAGGAGTTGTGGAATATTATTTTTTGAAATCATCCATTCTTTCTTTGTCCTCCCCAAATTGCTGAAATGAATGTAGAGGAGTGCCTTACTCTCTCTTTCATATATTTCAACTTTCAAAAATTGTCAGAGTTAACAGGAATCTCATTTCTTGAGGATGGCTGCTTTTTTTTTTTTTTTGCAGGGTAATTCTGTGAATGTGTCCTTGGGTTACAGATATGAATTTTCCAGCTTTTAGAATATTTGTTTTTCTTAATACATAAGAACTTCTGACTGTTCTGTGGTGGCGGTGCTGTGTTGCATTATTTGTGTATATTATTTGTTTTAGTAAATGTTTGTCTATGTTTTCAGACATGGTCATATACTTACGTGAATGGTGCCAGCTTGGTGAGGATGTCTCAGATTATGCAAGAGTCAGCTTTCAAGTGGTGTGAAGAGAAGTAAGTTACATCTCTGTGTATTGAGTCTAAGTTTGTGTACAATCTTAGGTGTAGAATGTTTATAACCTGAGATGATTATGTATTTCAAAAGAGGTTTCCTTTTGATGTGTAATCCATGTGTCAATTATTTTTTTTTAACCATGGTTCCAATTTATTACAGTATGATGTGTAAAAAATTTTTTTTAACAAAATATGAACTGTTTGATGACAAAATGCAACAAATTACATTTTCAAAGTACTGGTCATATCTAGAAAGGTGAGGCATATATCAGAATCTACTTCTTTTTTCATAAAATGCAATTTGTCCTCTTTAAAGAATTGTAGAAAGTTACACTTTTATTTCAAAACGCGACAAAAGAAGTAGACCTGTTCTGACATATCCTATGTGGACCGATCAAGTTCTTTCCTCGAGTCATGTGAATTTGCTTGTGGTCAACAAAAGTTTGTCACCGATTCTTTCCTCTCCATTTTATTGTTATGTTGAGATGTGATATTTTGTAAAAATGTGTGGCGATCTCCTGAATTTAAAGGTTAAGAATCCGACCTAAATTTTATCGTACAACAAATATCAACGAAGTCTTACTTCATGTTTACTCTAAAAACAAAGTTGCTCAAGATTATTCAATAAATGAGTGGAGAACAGAAATCTTAAATGTTTGAAAAAAGGGTAAGTCGCTCTGTAACCTCATTAAATATTGTAACTGGCAGCAATGAAATGCCCTCTTTGTAGGGTATACTTTTTTGTTACATCATGTAACTTTTCTTTAAAATATTCATGTAATTGTTCTCAGCTCTTTCAGTGGTGATGTATGGGTGGTTAATGGGTGCTCTGGTGTGGTTTCTTCCTTCTTTTTTATCAAACATATATCATCCTTTTGCTCTCCTCCTTTTTTTTGTGTAGATTATTCTCTAGTAGCACCTCAGATCATTGACACTTATATGACCTATTTGTATTGCAAGTGACGTAAAACTCTTACTAAAAGTAAAGTGGTGATATTGGTTGTCCAGATTAAATGGAATTTTTGTTCCACCTTATTTGACTTTTAATATCAATAATTTAGAGAAACAATGTTGTGGGTGGTTGGCGGGTGCTCTGGTGTGGTTTGCTCCTTCTTTCCTTTCAAACATCTATCGTCCTTATCTCCCCTTCTTTTTAAAAATTTTTGTTATTCCCTTGTAACACCTCTAATCTTCTGGCGCTCATATGACCTTATATAGTTGCGAGCGCCATAAAACCTCTAATAAAACTAAACAAACGAAACAAGTGTTGTAATCATGGACATGCGTATGTTCAGAATCCTCAGTGCTGTCCGTCAGTCCAGTGGTAATGACAAAGAGCTCCTGATCCTTGACCTGAGCCGGATGTGCCCGTCCCTGCTGGATGTGAGGACGAGTGTGGAGCGCTTGAAGAGTATCATTATGACAGGTGGGTGCTAGGAACCAGCATGCTCTCTCTCTCATCACAAGAACATCTGTCTAAGTAGATTTTAGTTTTAATATATATTGTCTTGCTGGCACATACAGAAATCAGCTGGACGCTGTACAAATTTTGCTGTATATGTGTTTTAAATAGAAAGAATATATATGTATAAAAAAAACTTTAGAACCTAAAAATCTGTTTGCTATGTGTATGTTCCCAATGTGCATGCTAGACTGTGGTATGTGCACTTGTGGACATGTCTAATCGTATATTTTTTCCCCCTCATTTGTAGTTGTTTGTTTTGGGAAAACTGATGCATTGACATTTGATGTAAGTTTCCACTGTACCCCGGAGTAACCAAACTGTTTAATTCAAATGGCCATGCGTTGTGAGTCTGAGGTCATATCTGACCAATATCAGATTCACTTACTGCAAGATGCAAGATGGAAGTTAATGAGTGCACCAGGGACCAATGTATTGTAATAACTGGATAGTTCGTTGTAAAAATTCAGCTCAGAACCTCTCTCATGGATTGTGAATTTTTAAAAACCCAGAACTGCAGGTCTGCGCTCATTACGCTGAAGACACTTCTTCTTCTATCAAGTAACCAGTACGAAAAAGGGTTTTTCAGAAAAAGCAAGCAATGAGATGTCATTTCTGATTAAGTAGTGGGTGGTTATAGGGCAATACCAGTTAGTACTACTACTTCTTTTCTTTTCAAGAGTTGTTTTTGTTTGTCTCTCTCTTACTTTTCCCCATCACTAAGCGATGTCGTTAACATGTGGATACACGTCTCTTTTTAACACAAATGTCTTTTAAGATTCTCCTTTCTGCTCCCCACAGACTCGGCCAAGGACTTCTACAGCAGTGACTCTCGCTGGTTCAACAACCTGGAGAACTCCCAGTGGCTGCAGCAAGTGTCCTCCTGTCTGAACACGGCCAACCACGTTGTCAACCAGCTGATGCGGGAGTCACAGACTGTTGTTCTCAAAGGTGACCAGTTCAATTCCATAGCTGTAATCAGTTTCAGTTGCATGTTCAAATCCACACTTAGTACCTATATTCTATATTATGAAAGTTTTAAAATTTTATTTTGTATATTATGGCATAAGTTTGCATTCAGTATTTTGGTTTACTTTCAAGTTTTTCAAGTGTTTTTGTTGGTGAAGCTGTACTCCCTAAAGTTTGCATGTTGTTTGTCAAGTTTGAAAGTAAGTTGGGTTTTTTTGTAATGGTATGACCAAGATACTCTTGTCATCTCTTGTATTGTGTATCAGACACCAAATGTTTGAACTTCATTCAAATAGATGCAAGCTGTGGTTTTTGGGGGGTTTTTGTAAGTGTTTTACGGTGCTTGCAACGCAATAAGGTCATATAAGTGCCGAAGATTAGAGGTGTTACAAGAGAGTAACAAACACAAAAAAGGAGGGGAGATAAAGACAATAGATGTTTGATAGGAAAGAAGAAGCAAACCACACCAGAGCACCCTCCAACCACCCACGAAAGCTGTGGTTTGTTCTGTAGTTTATTTTATAATCTCATGTCAGAAAAGTAGAGAACTGAGCATTTACATTGCTGATAATAATATACTTGAAGACTGGAGTTCTTGCTGGAGTCTGTTCTCATTTACAGTTCACAGGGAAATTGAAAAAAAAACAACTTTCCATAACATCCTGCCAGAGTCCTTATACTAAAACAAGTTAATTTCCTTTTTCCTTGTATTTCGTTGCCAGAGGAGAGTGGCTGTGACTTTACCGCCCTTATCTCCAGTCTAGTGCAGCTTCAGTTGGACCCGGAGTTCCGAACCATCTCCGGCTTCCAGAGCTTGCTTCAGAGGGAGTGGGTGGTCATGGGACACCCATTCCAGCGCAGACTTCACTTAGTCTGGTCTCAGAATGTAGCAGAGACAGAACAGGTAACAAATTGGGTATATGCCAGCACCCACTTTATTTGTGTCTTTACAAGAGGGGTTTGTGTTTCAGTGGCTTGTTTTTGTTTTGTTTTTAATCTTCAAACATCCACTTTATTTTCTCTTTTTTTTTCAAGGGAAATTTTGGTCTTTTTATGACATATTCAAAGGAATACAAATAGAGCAGATTATGCAATACATACAAAGAAACAACAAAACGGCAAACACTACATGCAGTCTTATCGTTTCTTGTGGCAGCCGTGATACACCCTGTTTTTGTGCTACGGTTGAAGTGTCTGGCAATGGTCGAACTGCTACTCCCACTTAACATTGCTTGATGTTTAAATGCCTCTGAGAAAACGGAAATTCACTACTGGGATGAGGCACAAAATCATGGCTGGCACTGTACATCAACTTGAAATGATTTTCCTTTTTTTAGATTATTTGTTCTTGGTTTTCTGCCTCTGTAATGCTGTGTGAAAGAATTTTTTTTTCAATTGATGTTTCTCGGAAGAGCAAATCCCCTCATTTACAAATGAATTGCGTTGTATTTAATAAGGACACTACTTGAACAAAAGTAAACAGTGTATGATACTGTTTACTAAGGAGGTTTCGGGAATTATTTGCGTTTCATTTATTAATATTTGGTGATGTATCGAGGCCTGTGGTATAGTGGTTACGAGCTTTGCAGTTGCACACAGAAAAACATGAGCTTGTTCCTGCTGAGACATTGTATCATTGTATCCCTCTCAGCACTGGTTGATCCTGACAGGCAGGGTCGATACAGCCCGCATTCTTAATGAGGCTGTAAAACATGTAGTTTCAAATGCAATTACAGTTGGTGATGATATTCTCAGATTTTTACTCATTTGGCTTCCCAACTTTTGGAACACTTTCTTGTTTCGTATTAAAAAGGACTCTGCAAGTTAGGCAAAAAAAGTGGGTTTTAGCATTGGTTTGAATTCCTTTGTAAAAATATTTACATTGTCGTTCTCAAGACAACACAAAAACAGGCATGTGTATGCCAGACTGTGAGACTTAAGAAATAGCGTGTGAGAATGAGAGAGAGAGAGAGGTAGAGAGAAAGAGAGAGATAGAGAGAGAGAGAACGGAAATGTTTTTTTTTCTATCTGTATAGAACGAATGTTTTAATGAATGTTTCTAGTTACTCACTTTTCAACTTTATTGTGACTGTTTGTGAATTTTTATTGCATTGTATATTTTTAGTGAACACATTTCCAACCTCACTGCGAGACTGTTTTTCTCATATAAATTTTTACACATTATATGCATTTATATTATATGTATAATACTTTGTTTTACGTACACGCATGTCAATTAATTTTCTAGATGTGATGTCTTTTTCATTGTAATGCGCTTTGAGCATCTTTTAGAAAATGGAAATGCGCAGTATAAATGCTATTTATTATTATTATTATTAGCTGCTGTGGCGGAGAAGTGCACACTATGTTATTTTTATTGTATTTGAGTATTCTTGCTAGGTTTTGGGGATTCACCAAAATTTTATTGATACCAAAGTGACTGTTTGCCTTTGTTGTCCACAGGCGCCAATTTTCCTGTTGTTTCTGGACTGTGTGTGGCAACTGCTGCAGCAGTTCCCGTCTTCGTTTGCCTTCACGGAGACGTACCTGACCTCACTGTGGGACTCTGTGCACTTGGGACTGTTTGACACTTTCCTGTTCAATAGCTGCTGGCACCGCAAGAAGTTCCTCATCGAGGGGCCCAATCGGACATTCATCTCACTGCCCAGCGCATGGGACTGGACGTTCCACTTGAGCGATGAGCAGATCCTCCTGTTCAACAACCCCCTGTACACACTTAGAACTTCTTTTGATCTTGACAAAGTTGTGCACAGTGCAAGAAACACCCTTCGTCTTTCCGGAGAGGAACTGAGAGAAAGTCGCTACTCAATGCTGCTGGGTTCGCCCCCTCCTTCTACGGATATGTTTGCTCTTCAAGAGACAGTTCTCAAGCCAGAGGTCACGGCGAGCCTCATCAAACTGTGGGCCCAGTGCTTTCTCCGGTGGATAGTACCGGCACAGATCGTGGGAGGGGGGAATCCTTCACAATACATGCAGCAGTGTATCCTAGCAGAAGAGGTGATCTGCCTACAGCACAAATTACAACAGGTTTCTCAGCTCGTGCAGCAGCAAGCGTCAGAGCGGAACCCGGAGCAGAGAGACGGAAACAATTCTGGGCATTTGCAGGTACGCCTGAGAGCACCTCGTCCCCAGAGTGGTTTAGTGTTTGGTGCCACTGGATATCAGAGCACCAGCAAGCAGTTGTCCTCCTTGTACATCACCTCCTCCTTCCCGTTCTCCCCCGGTGTCTCTCAGCACACCCAGCACACTCTCATCTGTGGGCCGCTCTCTCGCTATTTGAAAGAAACTGAGATAGATCACGATTATAATCAAGACACTGATGACTAGGACTTTTCCATATAATACTTTGTGTACTTGTGTGGCCATCTTGAGGAAAATGCAAAGTCTGCATAATCTCTCTCTCTGTTCAGGACTACTCAAAAGCTGCTATGTTTGTAAATAGTCAAATATTAAAATGTATTCATGCCTGTCTTTACGCAAACATGAGTTTGTAGTTTGCAAAGTCTTGTCTTTTCATCCTCCAGCTCTTTGGACCCATAGGAATGTGTCAAAGTTTCCTTGAATTGTGCCTCTTTGACACAACTCTTATTCTCCATGTTATGCCTGCTGGTTTGCAAGAAGCTTTCGTCTGTCCTCTCTTCGTGTAGTCGGATTATGTATCCTCACAATACTACTTTTTTTTCTAAAGACACTGAACGCGATGTCTTTGTTAATGTCACAACACACCACCAGATGGCCCTGCATTTGTGTAGCTCTGTCAGATGACCTGTCGCTTTTGGTGAATCGTAACATTTTTAGTTTTTTTCTGAAAATTCGAACTTCTTGTTTTTTTTTCACATCTTTCAATTCTAGCCTGAGATAATGCATTTCGAATGTATGTGCACAGATATGGGGACAAAATAGGTCCTCACAGCTGAAAACAGTCCTGTGCTTTATACAATAGGTTTCCTCGTAGCGCCACATGTTTTGTTACACATTTTGTGATATTCGCACATGTGATTATTATATTCAAGGAATGGTCATCCTCAATGGATGATCGTGGGTTCTGTTTCAAACTGCGTGTCCAATGCATGTATGTTCTCCAGAGCGACAGAGACTCTGTAAAGCATAAAACATTGTTTTGTCTCTGTGTATATAGAACTTGCTCAGGCTGTTTCTGTATTATTCACAACCTTCAGTATATTTCTTCTCCGTAAAAATTTTGAGTTGATTCATCACAGCGAAATTATGGTGCTTACAGTGTTTAAAATCTTATGTAATAATTTTCTGCTGTTGATATCCTGGAATTAGTTACTTTTGCAGCTTGCTTTTTGATTAGATGACTTAGTCAAGAGGGTATGTTTGATCGTTCCTTCAGGCTCTGTAAACTGCTCAAAAAAGAGAGTCTATGTCTTAGAAGAGGTACAGAATATTAAGTTCTGTCTAATGAATCGACCCTGCATGGAAATTAGTGGTGTGTATTTTGTACTAGTTCATTGCCTGTATATGAACGCGATAGGTTTTTTTGAGACTTCAGTATTATTTAGAAACCACCAGGACATTGCTTTGTTATATTATAGTGAAGAATTTATTGGGTTTGTATGTTGGTAGTAAAGTTGTGAGGGTTGGGTTTTTGTACTATGTGTTTACTTATGTTTCTAGACAGTATTTATTTGTTTTATCTCTTCATGGCCATTCCACATTATAGTGTATTCAGTTGTAGTTATTTCTTTCTATATATCATTTGGTAAGATATTTGCTTGTGGCCTATATTAAAACTTTTTTCTGGCTTAAACCCATAGTGTACTCGAAATAGTACAGCCCTACACTCTAAGATAGCCTTTTGGTTTGGAATGATCGCTGAATTTTTCGGATTAGAGTACCTCCAGGGACATCAGGTCTAATGCACTGAAGTTTCCTTAGAACTAATTGTGTTTACTGAGTGTCCATACAACATATTATTCGCCTGTGTCTCGTGCCATAACTTTTACAGAGCAAAAGCTCTTGATGTGCCGCAAGTATGGCCTCTGCCTCAGTCACTAAGAACATTTTCAGTTAAGCAGATGGCTGCTCAGACTGAAGAGTTGAGATTCATCCGAGATCATTCAGGGTCTTTCTTTTTTTTTTAGTAAAGGGTTTTACGGCGCTCGCAACTGCATAAGGTCATATGAGCACCAAGGGGTGGGTGTCAACAGAGAAATCTTTACAGGGAATCAGACTTACTCTGCTCACCTCTCTAGCTTCAGCAGCACAAGGTCTGCTTCGACTATCAAGACACCCCGGAAATAGCGGGTCACAAGAGAGTGACAAACATACAAAAGAAGTAGAGTAAAATGACAATAGTAAGGATTAGGGAAAAAAAAGCAGCAGTTCCCTGTTGTAGACCAGGCACAGTTATGAGCGTGACATGATGAATCAGCCCATTTACAATTCTACTGTGTTTGTACGAGAAATGTCCCCCCTTTGGGAATGGCCTAAAGACACTTCAGTCAGTGGCACTGTCCCGGGGGGTATTCAGGGTCTGGCATGCACTTAATGTCAGCATATCGAATTATACATATGAAGCTGAATTTGGCCTTTTTAAACAGCACATGACAATAATTTTCACCCATATGGTCTCCAGATGTGTAGACGTAATATGTATTGTAAGTTTTAAGCTAATTAGCTTGAAATTTAGTGTGATGCCTTGAGACTTGTCAACCATTTCAAAATTTCACTAGTTATGTAAATGCTGTGCTAGCTAAAATAGTGAAAAGAAGGGGAATTAACATTGTTTCCGTTTTGTTGAATGCTCAATGGTGACAAATCTGCATAATAACCACACACTGTCCACTCCACAAATAGAGATCTATACACTTAAAGGGTTTTTTTTTAATGTCAGTGAAATATATTTTTGCTGTTTGCCTCAAAATGAGGGGTTGTCTGTTTTTTATGGGGTTTTTTGTCTATTTTAGACAGTGCAGAGCATTTCAGATTTATTGTACAGTCTAGCAGGCACATGGTGAACATGCTAGCAAAACATGGGCATAGCAAACAGATTTTTCAGATTCTAAATTTTTAGATACATGTATATGTTATTTGTATACATGTCCATTGCAAAATTTGTACATAATGGCAAGATTTCTGTGTCCCACCAGTTTCAGTATGTGGGTGCTAGACTGTACTTTCATTCCATAGTCAGCTCATAACTTTAGTAGATTAGTATAGCTTGATCAGTCTAGTCTTTTACTGTGTTACTGCCATCACAATTTGACCTGCAGCACCACATAATCTATAAAAAATGTCATTGCTTATTTATTGTTGAGTTACCCCCACTGGCAGATGACTCAGACACTCTCTTGGCCAGTCAATTCTGTTTCACTGGTTCAGTCCCCTTGTTATCCTGTTAGGGGCATGTTGTTATCATTCATAGATCTATTCTGTCTCAAATGATTGCCAAGCATCCATTTTCAGCAGGGTGAATTGAGGAAAATAGAGTCAAGAAGCTAGTCTCCAGGAAAAAAAAAAACTACGTCCCACATGATGAAGCAGAGAACTGAGCTCACAACTTTTGTTTGAGAGTCCAAAGCCTTAATAGATAATAGTAGTGTTGGATAAAGAAAGCTGGTCAGGAAGACTGGCAACAGGAAGGAATGAGGCACCATGACCGTCAGTGACTTGTCCAGGTCTGACACCTGAAGAAGAAGAAGAAAGAGGAGGAGGAGAAGAAAAAGAAGAACAAGCATAAGTGCTGTAGTGTGAATCAAATTCAGTCGTGAGATTGATGCTCAACCAGTCCATGAAGATATATGCCTTCTTACTTCTAGAGAGCCTTGTTGTACATCTAGTTTTTGTCCACTATCCAACTGCTCTGATGATCACTTTTCTTTTGTACAATGTGTAATGTGATGTTTAGGGCGGTTAAGTATGGTGACGGGAAAGACCATGTGTCCCTTTTTTTGTATGAGTATACCTTAGAATTACAAAGTTCTTTCTGAAGTTTTTGTCCGTTTTGAGTTACTAAGACCATATGGTCAGAAACCAAATGTTCTATCTGCTCTATCAAAATTGTAAGATTATTCCGAGTCATTGTCAAGATATTCAAAGAATTGCATTAGAGAAACTTTGACGTGTTCTTAAACTCAAAATTATTTTTAACGTCAAATTTCCCCGAAGTAGGCACTAAGTAGATAGAACTTTGTAATTCTAGGGTCATGAAATGTCAGAGGTTTTCAGGTGGGGTGTGTTCCCACTGTCAGCGCTGATTTTCAGCTAAGCTCATAAGCCAGGTCAGCTGTGTACAAGATCGAAACTTTTTCCAATGATTTCAATGTCAGTGAGCTCACTGTCTGATTATGCCCACTCATGACATATTTGAACCCTGAGCCTTTGATAATGTCACCTTCCTCATCCTTAATTTCCCCATAATTTTGAATAACTTGCGAATCAAGGCAAAAAAGGGAAATGTGCTGCCTTTTTTCAGATTATTTGGTGTTAACGTGTTGGGAAAGCATAGTCGTCCATGATTAGACAATACAGTAATACTAGCAAATTTGGTTCCGAATAGGCATTTTTTATTCCCTGAATGCTAATCATGTTGTGCTTGTGGCTAAATCTCCAAACAGAAGAATTGTAGCCAGATGATTTGTAGGAACAACATATGCAATCAGGAATGGCAAATTTTGTCCATTTTTGTGGTCTCAATGTACAGCAAAAGCCAAAAATTGGACATTTTCGTGACTTGCCATACACACCTTAAGGCAACGAAGGGGTTAACTCATGCATTGATCATAATATGAGCAGGACATCCTATTTTTGTCCTAACATCTTTTTAGCCTTGACTTTTTTTTTTACATAGGTTTATTTTCTCTTGGATTTTCACAATGTTTCATTTTGTGTGTGTGTTTGGGGGGGAGGGGGGGTATTTATTAATAGGGATTTAAGTGAGTTTTTGGTGTAAACTTTGGAGTAGTTTGATTTTCTTCTTCCCCCCCCCTCAATGTTTTTGCTGTCCTAATCTGTCTATACCAGTGTAGAGGCATTGACTGGGCATTGGAAATAGAACTCACCCTCTTTTCCTTCCTTCCTGTTGCTGTCCTTGGAGATGTGCCTTGTTTGAAACATTTGTAAATCCTGCAGGCTAATGGCACTTCTTGTGGACTGGCTGTTGGGAGTGTTTGAAGTCTTGATTTTTTTCCGGCCTTTCAGCCTGGAATGGTGATAGAGTTGTAACTGACTTGTGCCTTTTGTCAGTAATACACTTTTGCCTTTGCTACACATTGAAATGACTCAAATGAAAATATATCTTTTGTTGTTGTTGATGATAAATGCATGTAAATTAATGTATCCAATAAACTCATGAATAACTGTAGATTAACCATTTATGTAGTACCCAACCATTCATGTTACTAAATTATGTCAATAGCAATTGTACTCTGTGATTATTTATTTGAGAGAAAATTTCCATGCAATTTTCTTACTGCAACAGTATGCCAAGTCTAAGAATATTCTCTGCCCATGTATTAGTACAAAGACCCTTTGGTAGATAGAGTCAGGGATGTGATGCAATTTTATAATTGTTATTAACAATGTTTTATTTTTTAAGTGAAAAAGAAAAGAGGATAGGGGAAAGGTTGTGGGATAGCCAGGATAACGAATGGTGCCATCTATACAGTCTCAACACTGTACACATTTACTTGGAGCATCTTAGAAGGGGGACGAGAGATGGTGATTAGGGTTGACAACCAACAATTATTTTTTTAATTGGTTCTGGTGTTTCTTCATTTCGTATGATCAAGGTTACCAACTGGACCTCTCTACCCTGTTTCCAAAACCCTCACTCTCCTACAACAATAAGAAATAAAAAGAACACATTATCAGCAAACAAATAAACAAAACAAAAAAATACAAACCAATTTTACCATAAAGCAAGTATAACAAAAACAAGTAGGGTGACCATGAATCTTTCATGTAAAAGATGAGTTGCCCAGCAAGAAATTCATCTGGAAATCCAGTCTTCATAAGAATCCATTTGTTTTAAGATGACCAGCTGCTTGGGTAGAGACTACGACTGTTGTATGTTTATGTGCAAATTGGTAACTGAAGTGTCAGGAGTATCCCTCACAAGCTGTTACTCTAGAATAAAAGATTGCTGTGCACAAAAGAAATATTTATCCAGAAACTATTTCTCTGGTCTCATCATTCTTTACGCCATGTATACCGCTGCTTTGATAATTTTAACCCAACCCTACAAAATGCCACTAATGCTTTACTCTCCTCCACTTCATACTTCATCGGGTATGCCTGATTCAGAAAGTTTGTCCGTTGGTGAAGTTTCTTTTGTTTTCGTTAATGTGAATGCTGTGGCAGGGTTGGCTAATGGCAATGTCTGTCTCATTTTTATGTTTATCTTTCCCTGTCCATCATCCCTACTACTTTTTTGAGATATGAATTGTATCATCCAAATGTCCAGAAAGATATTTTATTTATCTCCTTAATTGAGGGGTCTCCAAGCTTCAGTGTACTCCTATTATGAAAACAGTATTTTTTTATTATTTTTTTTTTCCAGGGAGGATGAAACTTGATTATGATTGATTTAAAAAATGACTAATGGGACAATTATGAGAAAATGGTAGAGTGGCACACTGAAACAAGAGATGTGTTGTAAAGAAGAAAAAGTGACCGCACATCAGTCGGGTATGAAAATTTCAATATTCCAAGTTGGTCTGGACGGGACAAAATAGTATGAGAAGCAGCATTCCTCCCATAATCTTTAGTTTAGAGACTCCTGCCCAGCTTTTTCTGGTTTAGATCAGAAATGGAACCTATCATTTGTAGTTGTTACTGACCACTTGAACATTTTGTCCTGTAATACATTTGTAGTTTGTATTTTCCAACGAATGTCTCCATATTCTGTGTGTCCTTCCCCCAGCGCTCACTACTTTCTCATGTCAGGGCTCTCTCCCTACTCGGTGACGGAGACACAGAAGGAAGTGTTTTCCCAAGTGACTGTCCTGTGTTCTGTGTCTGATCCCATGCAACCCCCGACTGCCTGTATAATTCACTATATATTCTGTACAAGATATTAATAAATTACAAATTAATGCCTCAATTTCCTGACTATTGTTGTTGAATTTCGGAGTAAACGTCTTAATTATTATTATGCCTTGCTATTTCTGCAGGATATGAGTCAAACATGAGATGAAGTGACTGTAGTGTCTTTAGGCCATTCCCAAAGGGGGGAACATTTCTCGTTCAAGCATAGTAGAATTGTAAATGGGCTGACTCATGTCCCGCTCATAACTGTGCCTGATCTACAACAGGGAACTGCTGCTTTTTTTTCCCTAATCCTTACTATTGTCATTTTCCTCTACTTCTTTTGTATGTTTGTCACTCTCTTGTGACCTGCTATTTCAGGGATGCCTTGATAGTCGAAGCAGACCTTGTGCTGTTGAAGCTAGAGAGGTGAGCAGTCTAAGTCTGATTCCCTGTGAAGACCTCTGTTGACACCCACCCCTTGGCGCTCATATGACCTTATGCAGTTGCGAGTGCCGTAAAACCCTCTACTATTAAAAAAAAACAACCCAAGATGAACTTGCTTAGTTTGAATGCACGTGCTGTAGGTTCAAATCCTGAAAAGGATGATTCTGAAATTGGATTGCTCTGAGGAATTATAATTTCTTTCCTCCTTCACCTTTTGAGAAACATCCAGGGTTACCATGGGAGTCACAATAGGGTTGAAGTTATGATTACAAGATTAGGAAACAATGTGCTGTGATGTGCGAAGACATGGGAGAATATTGCTTTATTTTAAATTTTACCGGGTTATCTTGTGACCAGTGAACATTGCTCTAAGGCAGTTGGGGGCGCCCATATTTTCCTTTTTGGAGGTGGGAAAGCGACCATTTGGACTCAATTTGATAAAATCCTCCAATATTAAATTATACATGAACGTTTTTTTTTCTAAGTTACAGATATACGGCCGGTGAAAACGGCCAATTTAAAAGCTGCCACACATCGCGGAGTCTGATCTTTTATTTGTGAGTGAAATTTGATAAGCTCAAAGCAAAACTGAGGTCAATTTGATATAGAATGCATCAGAGCCACCATTAATTTAATCGACCTGCCCTCAAATGCATCAAGTGTATCTTTGTCTTCTTTTTTTCTTTGTGTTCCCCTGCTAGGGGAAGTCGACTGTTGGTTCAGCAACCTGCAGTGCAAATGATTTTTACATATATGACTGTTTTTCCTATTTACTTGGGCCCCACTGCTTTCAGACAGCCACATTCCGATTTCGAAGGTACTCTATTGTTTTTGTACTGACTAGAGCATTTTCGGTGGGTGGTTGGCGGGTACTCTGGTGTGGTCTGCTCCTTCATTCCTGTAAAAAAATCTAGTGTCTTTATTTCCCCTCCTTTTTTTGTGTTATTTGCTCTCTTGTAACACTTCTAATCTTCGGCACTTATATGACCTTATTGTGTTGCAAGTGCCATAAAACTCGTAGGCCTACTAAATCTAAAAACTAGAGCATTTTCAGTTTTGGTAGGAACTAATTTTGAATTTTGCACGAGTGGTGACCGAAGCCCACTCATTTGGATTTTAGAACCTCGGATTCAAGGGATCTCGCGCGCAATTTGAATATTATATGGAACCACTGGAGATTTTTCGCCCTCATCCCAGAAGGCTGGGTGTTAGATCTCACGGTACCCTAAGGTCAGGGGTGTGCCTGAAAGACAGCAGTAAGAAAGTGTCAGGAGTATTTTTTGTTTTTGTTTTTGTTGTTTGTTTGTTTTTGGAGGGGGTTGGTAAGTGTTTTACGGCGGTCACAACTGCAAAAGGTCATATGAGCGTGCGGATGTCAGTTGGCAGGAAATTTTGAATTTTGCCCGAGTGGCGGCCGAAGCCTGCTCTCGTCGGTTTTGGACTACCAAATGATCTTAACGTGCGCAACTTGCACACGGGACCTCTGAGATTTTCTGCCTTTATCTGAGAAGGCTAGGTGTTATAATAGATCTTACGAACCATAAGTTCAGGTGTGTAAATGAAAGACAGCAGTGAGAAGGAACCATAGAGGTATCTCCTTTTTAAGCTTAATAGTGTAAATCTATGGAAGGCGCGGAAGGAACCTAGGAGTAGCAGTGGAAAGAGTCAGGAGTCCAGATGAGAAGGCAAATGGGAGGGGGGGGGGGCAGAAAGTGGAGACGAAAGCAGACGACAGAATAGTAGGAAAGGAGGTAAAAGGAGAAAATCTGGGAGAAGAAGATTATCCGTCTCTGTCTGTGTTCGAAGCCGAGACCTATTGAATGAGAGACAAACACCATAACCTCTAGACCACGAGAGCCCCCTGCCAGGAGTAGAAGAAGAATGAGTGCATGAGGAGAGGGGGGGGAGGACAGGGTGGGGAGAGAAAGTGGAGTGAAAGCAGATGACAGAACATGACGAGAGAACATGAAAGGAGGTGAAAGGAGAAAATTGTAGGGATTATTATTATTAATTTTTTGGGGGGTCGTCAGGTTTCGAGCCCCGCCAGGACTTTTTGAATGAGAGCTGAACACCGTACGTCTAGACCCCCCCCCCCCCCCTCCAATCAAGTGTATCAAATGTACAATGAGCACTGGCTATAACGTGATCTGTTCTACCTAACATAACTGTGTAAAAGTTTTTGTGGTAAGAACCGCTCTAAAACTAACATGGTTTTGCTGTTTTTCTTGCAATTACTTGTAACTGCATTATTCGATTCAGTTGAGTGCTAGGAAAGAGCAATTAAGATCATAATAGACAGAAACGACAGAGGGAAAGTAAAGAAATTGGACCAAGCACTGACTCCCCCCCCCCCCCCCCCCCCCAAAAAAAAAAAAAAGAAAAGAAAAGATGTCAATTTTTTGCGCTGTGTTATTCACTTTTAAATGTAGATCAACTAGATAGTGTTTTGTCTCTTTTTATTATCCCCTGCTCTTTACTTTACCAGTGCCTCTGGAAAGTTGGTTGAGTTGTAACCTCATTTTCTTGAATGAAAACAATCCCTGTTTCTGTGTTGTTTTTTTGTTTGGTTTGGTTTTTTGGGTTTGGTTTTTTTTTGTGGTATTTTTTTTTGGGGGGGGGGGGCAGTAGTAGAATATAATAATGGAAATTTAAAAATCGAAACAACTTTTTTAAAAACCCAACCAACCAAACAAACAAAAAACGGAAGTTAGGATTAGGATTCTCTGAATCTGCAATCTGCACACATCAGACCGGAAGATGGGAAACTGAAAGTAGATCTTCGGCCTCTGCCTGCGCTGATACGTCGCCTAAGGCTAGGCCTATTCGATCAAGAAGCTTTTCTGCTGTCTACTTGCTGCCAATCATAAGTCCCAAGTTTGGTCTTGGACTAAATTCTAGATCTAGATCTAGTGTGGTGGCGGATCTGGCACTTGCTGGACCTCGCAGACATCAAAAGGTAGACTCTACTCTACTAGTCTCTAGGCTAGGTCTGTCTCTATGCTCGTTAGTAAGTGTAAGTAATCTATCTTGGCTAATAGATCTAGATCTAGATCTAGCTAATATTTCTTTCTGACTTGATATTGATTGATAAGTAGGCAGAAAATGGGGATGACTTCCGTAACGAGCGACCACTAGATCTATGAGACAGAGTAGAATAGAGGGGTAGGGTTAAGGTTAGGGTTAGTGTTAGGTGTAGAGGCAGGGTTAGGGTTAGGGTCTATTAGGTTAGATTCTAGATCTAGATCTAGATATCTAGATCTAGAATCTAGGTCCCTTCTTTATTGTGTTTGTTGGGGTGGTCGCTCGTTACGAAAGTCCTTCCTGAAAATGAAGTCTGCCACAGACTACAGACCCACAGTAGGCCTACTGCAATGTGATGATGGGGAACCCGGGACTTTTTGGGAGAAGTGGTCCCGGCCTAACTCCATAGACTATAGACATTTGTACATTTCATTATGTACACAATCAGAAACAAAACCGTACGTTGTCTTTTAAAAAAAAAGGGTGCAGGGGGGACTCCCCCTGCCAAAAAATAAGGTGGGGGGGGGGTGCAGGGGGGTCTCTCCCCAGGTCCCCAGCAATTGTTTACTTTCTCGCGTTTAATTCCGGCCGCGCTCTAGATCTAGATCTAGATCTAGACAAAAATCTATGCATCCCCGACTGGACATTCAAAACTTTGCGCTGGAGTTAAAAATATGTAAACCACAGCAATGTCCTCATTTGTAGGTAGTAACATACTATATTTGGCTTTAAAGGCCTTCTGTAATGATTTTGATGGCCATCAAGTGAGTATACAGTGGAATCCTGTTATAACGAGAGGGAGGGGACCGGTGCGAAATGTCCGTTATAGCAGGATTCTCGTTGTAAGGGATCCAGTAATACATTCAGGGGAAATAGTAAAGTAGGCCTAATTTATGAGTTTAATGTTCTGTATTCCTTTTTGTATTTAATTTCCCCTGATGATGATTTTGTTCAACATGATCTCTAGGTCTTACTTGATCAAAAATCAAATCAGATTTCATTCTCTAGCACTAGCAATGTTGACAGCTCTGCGTTGGGGATCAGAAAGAAAGGGCTCTGGCTCTAGACTAACTGGCCCACTGTGTTGTCCCCCGCCCCACCACACCCTGTGGTGCTTTGCGTCTGCTTGCGCACGTCACACATTCACTCCATCTATCACAACATTGTGACCTCTCCATCCCGCACCAGAGAAGTGAGAGGCACGGTATGCCTAGATAATCTAGACTGGGCTGGCCTATCACACGATGCGTTCTGCTTGTCTGCGCATGCCACACACTCCCCACTCATTCACTCAGGCCTTCATTGTTAGTTCGCGTGGGCTCTCCCATTCTTTGTTTCGCTGGATCACCAACAACTTTCTCAACTGGCGAGGTTTTACATGTTTAATTGGTCTGTGTGCTGAGCACAGCAGCAGCAGTATTCCGTTATAACCGACTCGCATGACTGTCTGGTTGCGCAATAGCAGTATTTTATTTACAATGATAAAGAAGGGAAAAAAAAGGGATTTTAGAATAGTGTCTTTATAACAGACTTCTCGTTGTTTCAGGACTGGTTATAAGTGGACTCCACTGTAATATTCTCATAGAGTTCAGAGTGGTGGCTCAATACAGAAGTCCTCCACCGGAATTAAACGCGAGAAAGTAAACAATTACTCTCTCCCCTGCTAAATTCACAAAATAATGGTTTGTGGCAGTTTTTAGCGCCAAAATTGTTCTCAGCACACTAAAAAAATGTTAGAATTCAGAATAGTGCCGAAAACAGATCTAGATCTAGTCTCAAATAGGTTTGGCAGACAACTCAGTTCAGTTTTTTTACTCGACTTCCGTTTTTGTTTCCGATTTTGTGTATAAATGTCTATGGTGTTAGGCCGTGAACCTAGTATTCAGTTGTCAAATGAAAGAGAAACAATTTGCCACAAATCGTCTCTCGAAGTACTTAATTCTTTACTTTTGAAAGCTCGGCAATTGTTTACTTTCTCACGTTTAATTCTGGCCGTGCCTAGATTAGATCTACTTCTAGACGATACTCTATGCATCCCCGACTGAATATTTAAAACTTTGCGCTGGAGTTAAGAATACGTGAATGACGGCAATTTCATCATTTATTGTAGATAATCTATCATAGTAAACTGGCTTTGCCTTCTGTACTGATTTTGATGGCCGGTGAATTCATTGAGTTATTCAGAGTTCAGAGTGGTCGCTCGTTACGGAAGTCCTCCTCTGGAATCAAACGCGAGAAAGTAAACAATTACCGAAACCTCCAGGATCTATATCAAAAGAGATCTAGATCTACATGTTGTTAAAACTTTAAACCCCGAGTTGTTTCCACCGTTTCCAGGAGTTTTCTTCTACATTCACTTTTTTACCTACTTCAGTATGTCTCATTATAACCCCAAAAGCTTGCCTCCAACTTCTAAATGGCAGAAACAAAGGCTTCTAAATCTTTACTAAAATACAACACTCTTCGGGAGAAGTGGTCCCGGCCTAACTCCATAAAATCGGAAACAAAAACGGAAGTCGAGTAAAAAAGCTGGCTGAGTTGCCAGGGTGAAAAGGCCACCGGCAACTTTATAGAAAAGGTCCAAACCCATTTTAGACATTTGCGAAAGTTTAAGTTACATTTCCTAAATCAGGAGGCAAAAGCATGGAAAAGACATGAAATTGCACCTGTTACGGGATTTGGACCTTTTCTATAATGATACCAGGCGACCCAATGAGGAAAAAAATAATTTAGTATAATATCAAAAAATCGAACTTTAAAAAAGCACCAAAAAATTAATAAATGCTCAGCCAGCTTTTTCACTCGACTTCTGTTTTTGTTTCCGATTTTGTGTATAAATTTCTCTGAAGTTAGGCCGGGACCACTTCTCCTGAAGAGTGCCTAAAATACTTGTTTATTTTTCCCAGTTGGGAGGAGATTTGAAAGTTGGACTCCTTATTAAGTAAGCGAGGGTTTGGTTTGGTTTCTTTTCAGCTTGGGTCAAGTTGAAGACAAGGATTTTTTTTTTAAGAGCAAGAGAGAGAGAAAGTGAAAGGACAGAGGATAGTATCTGTTGTCAGGTTTGTGTTATATTTCTTTCTATTTTGTTGTCAAACCCAAAAGCAGCTTGAGTGGTGTCTGATCCTACTCTGTTTCTCTCTGTCCACTTTGTTATTGTTATTCTTTAAAGTATAAAGAGTTGTGAACGCTGTAAATCCTCTACTAAAACTAAACTAAAAGTTTAAAGATTTAGACTGAGGTACTATGGTAAAGTGGTGTCCACCTATCCCCCCTTGGTAAGCAAACCTTGGTTGCTGTAAGTTGTAAGGTGGAGGTTGCTGCTAACTGGATTTTCAAAGGGGGTAATCTTTTCCCACTCTCTGTCACTTGACTGTCACGCATATGCACATGTACACGAGTCTTAATCACATGATGCGATGACGTTTTATATCTGAAAATGAGAACATAGTGAGCCAGCACTCGATGGCTGGGCGATAATGATAATGAGAGACGTTGAAGGAGAGTGGATCTTTGCAACATGGTGTGAACTAAGTTTCTGTACTCAACAGACGTGGTATATTTTTCACTCGAGCAGGGAGATCAACAAGAGAAGGGGTGTTTGCACTCTAAAATTATGGGCCAGTCTTGGTGTTCACACTGTTTTTGAATGGTCAAAAAACTTTTTTTTGTGAAACAATATATTGCAACAAAGGTTGCTGTTAGAGGAAAAGTAAGTTGCTGTTAAAGGGAGTTATTTATACAGAGGAAAATCCCACTTAAAAAACATGGTAATTCTTATCTGGGTTGCTTTTTGAAGTGGACGTGGCTTTATAATGGTCCTCAAGTAAAGGGCATTTTGACACGAATTTTGATTTTCTTTTCAGGGAAAGCAATGGACGCAAAGGAGATAAAGGCCTGCCTGAAAGCAGCACGTGAGTCCATAAGGACAAAAGACTTCAAGGAAGCTTTGAAGCAGTGCAAGGTAATGGTTTTGGAAGAGTACAAACTCTAAAAATAGAATCAATTGATACTTTACATTCAAATAGAGACATTGGTCTTGTTTGGAAAAATCTTCTAAGTGTGTTTACTCAATAGGGTTACATTTCACAAATTAATCAGCTTCTCATAACCAGGTAGAATTATAGAATTAGTTTGTAAGATTTTCTACTCTCAGTTTAAAAGGGAACAACTGCAGTCATCAGGATTCTTTCCCACTTTGAAGCTAGGGCACATCTCTTTCCTTGAAATCCTTTCTGTTGATCTATTGAGACTTGAGTTTATCCCATGTGAAGCCTCAACTCTGGTCAAGGCTTCATGCAAACAACCAAAAGGGAAAAAATTGTGGCACAAAAAATTCAGACCATTTGTTAAGTTCATAATCTATCCTCATTTAAAATGAATTTATAGAGAATGCTGCATTTTGATACTTTGGCCAGTGGATATAAAAATAGTTTTAACCATTAGCAATAGTCTCAATAATCTGAAGACTACAGCCTCTCACACTTACAACCATTTTAAGTTTAAAGTCATAGGTGGAATGCATATATGCTTTGGATAGAAGTTTATGAAAGATGTTCGATTTCATCTCGAACCCTCTGATTGTGGTTTTTATCGACAACACTTGTTGAGAATTATTTTAGAAGCCTAAAAGCTTTTATTATTGTTTGAGGGCAAGAAGTGCTTATCTCCAGTTTTGGAGTGAAGAATTACTCACTTATTACACTCAACCAAATATGTGTTGGTTATCTTTTTATCAATATTTCAAGTTTCTCATTGAGCAAGTAGGCATGTTTTTTGTGCTGTTCAGGCCATACTAGCAGTGGACAAGAACAACTACAATGCGCTGGTGTTTGTTGGCGTGGCAGCCGAGGGGATGGACCAGCCCGACCAGGCTCTGAAGGCGTACAAACGGGCAACGGAGGAGGCTCCAGAACAGCTGCTGGCCTGGCAGGTCAGTTACACCAGATGAAACCTGGCCACCTGAACCACAATTTTGTCTGTCATCTCTTGTCATATGACAATGACAATGACAAACTTGATTTATCTCACAGGGAGAAATTTGTCCTGATCGTTTACAATGGCAGTAGATATTACAAAGGTTAGGTGCACTCATGCATACTCACAACAAGACAAGACATTAGTAAATACATGTCTCCACAATACGCTCCTTAAAACACTCTCTCTCTCTCTCTCTCTCTCTCTCTCTCTCTCTCTCTCTCTCTCTCTCCCTCTCTCTCACTCATTTGTAGCATTGCAGTGGGTACAAATGAATTTCTATATTGACTGAGTAGAAGGTAAAAGGCATGTGTGTTTGTAAATGAAAATTATATATATGAAAGAATTTACTAACCTTGTAAAAGATCTGTGCTGTTGTGCATAAGAAATTGGATACGATGTATAAAGTTTGTCGACGTGTCAAATTTCTGTCCAGTAGATGCTGGTAAGTGGAAAAATTATGTACTATCTTTTTATTGGATCATGTTCCACAGAGAACGGAACCTGAAACTTCAAAGTCTCGTCTTGCGTCTTTACTGTTAGGCCCTCACTACCCTGACTATTTTTTTAAAGTGACATTATGTTACTTTTAATTTAACAAGCAAAAATTTCCTAAATCTGCTCCTGCAAGTTGTTGTCAGGTATGATATTTCCCCTTCTTATTTTTGTCTTTATATTGCAGGGTTTGAGCAGTATGCTGGACAAGAAGGAAGATTTGCTGAGTGCAGAAGAAGCTGCTGATTTGTACTCTAAACTTATTGAGCTCAATGCCAGGTGCGGATCTAGGCTGTGAATTATCATTTCTGGAGAGACTAAAATACATTGGTTTCGAATTGTTTACTTACAGTTTTTACAGGAAATCTTTTGATATCCTCCCAAAATAAGAGTGAACTTTACTTTCAAATACATTTTTTAATCTAACATTTGCTTTCAAGTGTGCAAAGTTGTAATTCATTTGCTTTCCTCAAACAGCATAATTGAGCTTGTTTCATCCATAATTGCCATATTGTTAGCAGTGTCTGTTCACAATGAGGTAATTTAATTTTTAGCACACCCTGTCAGTACTTTTAACGAAAGATAATGCTAAATCTGCTTTATATTCAGGGAATAACTGTTTCCTGAGAAGAATGAGATTAGAGTGACCTGATCCCATGAATCTAAGTAAGCTTCAGGATTCCAAGAGCTTATCAGGTTGGCAACTTACCACATTAACTGCCAGTGGGACTATTTCAACAGCCTCCGTGATAGTGATTACTTTACTTTTCCGATCCAGCAGCAATCTGAGTTCTAGCCCTTTGGCCTGAAGTGATAAAATCAATAGCTTGTTGTCGTTAGGATTCAAAATTTCCTCAGTGTCTGAATTAGGCATTTTATAAAATGATTGCAATATATGTAAGAATATTTACTGTGTACAAAATGATTTTACATATTATTAATTCATGTTTCCCTTTCATGTGTCTCCAGTGACTCTTCAAAACAGACACCCTACATGTCTAAGCTGGCAGATTTGTATGTGAGGACCAGTCAGGAAGATAAGGTGCACACTACTAGACCCTTTTTTATAGAAGTGCTTAAAATTCCATCACTTAAATCTTATTCAACATTCTTGTGACAGTTATAAAGTAGGATAGGAGTTTTATGTTAATTATGAAAGGTGATGGGGGGGGGGAGAGAATCAAGAGTCTCATTCAAGGCTGGGAGGTTGAGAGCAGGTTGAGGACAGCCTTTGTTGAATGTTGTGCTGGCACGGTGAGATGTTGTCTTTTGGTGACTGTGAAAACTATCTGGTCTAGTTTACATTCCATCGTTTGGCAAGTTTGTAGAGAAATTATTCTGTCTTTTAGAATATTTGGTTATATATTATTTTTTTGTTCTGCTTTTTACATTCTGACTTTTTTCATGAATTTGGGGGGATTTTGAGAAACACTTAACAACCATCTGGACTCAATTCTGACCCTTAAAACTTCAATCAACCACTTGCCTTCAGATGCTGAAGCTTTTATTTCGTAACATTCTTATTTTTACATGTAGTAATCAATATTTAGATGAGAATTGTTTTGTTTAAGAACTTCAGAGCTCATTGTTATACTTTCTTTTGTTCTTCCAGGCTGTTGATTTGATTTCAAAATTGCTGACTCTTGAATCAGATGAGGAGAAGAAGAGGAAGTGGAACAAGACGTTGATAACTCAGCTGTCTCCTCAAGCTCCAAAACTGCCAGACGAGAGACTCACTCTGGTAACTTTTGTTCCTGTCTTGATCTATGTGAAGCTAACATAAATAGGAAAAATCAAGAGTTCTTATATAACTCATAGAGGGATATGATTGTCACATGGAACATATGTGAGGGCTCTAGTAGTCAAGTGGTAAGTGAACTCAGGTTGATATTATCAAGCAATGTTGGTGACCCTGCTTTTGGATTGGAGATAATTGGCTGTGGTCTTGAGAAGGAACCTTAGCTCAAACTGTGGCAGTTGGCAATGGTGCATCAGCCTTGATTGGCTGGGTCAAAACAGCCTATGTCTGAAATGTTTTACTTAATTGTGTTGATGAGTATGGTGTTGTGTTTTTACAGTCCATCTTTATTGTAAATCTTTATGGTGTGCCATATGAAATCAATTCTCACAGGTGGTCGGCGGGTGCCGGGGTCAACTCTTACTGGAACATAAAACAAATTAAGTCAATATGCGGTATGTTACTGCTGAGAAGTGCCTTGTGAGTGACGTAATACATTTCTTTTTTTCTTCTACTTAGTATGAAAAGGCTCTCAAAGATGTTCTGGACGATTCATCAGTTTTAACCCCAGAGGAAGTTGACAACTTTACTCAGCTGCTGCTGGTTATCACTTCACAGGTGAAACTCAAATGATACATATGGACTATATTACCAGGGGGGAATCCTTCCATTCAAAGATTAACATGATTTTTGTACATATTTGTCTTCCTCATAATACTTGCAGAGATGTCAGAGGTTGCAGAACTTATAATTAGCTCGTCTGAACCTAGCATCTGTGCCCCCTGTCTCTTTTCCCACTGTACTTATCATGGGAAACAACATCATCTATCATGTTTGTATCAGGATTACTTGATGTTCTTTGTAGTTTGCTTCAAGTATACAAAAAGTATTCACTTGATCAAGACGCACGGAATGTTATCGAGGGATATACTAGAACAACCAATAAGTCACATTGGACGTCTTTGTCCAGTCACTGTCTAAGGATGATTGAAAGGAGCTTGCTGAGTAGGTGGTGGTAGTCTACTCTACTGTGTTAAGTTTAACCATTCTTCATTTCATTTTTACCCCTTTCTGACCTTTGGAACAAAATCACACGTCCTTATCGCATTAATCCACAAAAGTCACTTTTCCTTTGCTTAGAATGTTATAATTACCATTATTTGAAATATGCTTTCTTCACCTTTTTGTCAGTGGGATGATTATGCTATGTATTAAACATGTTTTATGGTTGTCTACAGAAAAAAACAGAAGTTTTGAGAGAAAGCTGTAACAGCTTGAGACAAAGGTTTCCCAATGCTTCTCCACCCTTGGAACTTCTTCTGCAGTGCTATATTGATGAGAGCATAGGTTTGTGTTTTGTGTTTTATTTATAGAACATGTTGCTTTCATACAGGTCCACCAAACTCTACTGTGGAGAATCAAATATCATCATCTAAATCCTCCTGACAATTCATTATTTCTGCTCAGTGTTTGAAGATAGAAATACAAGATCCATTTTGGAATGCTGCATCGTCTGAATTTCCAAAAAGTATATATATATCTCTATAGTTTTTCCCCCCAACAATTACTGTTGTTTTCTCTATGTCACAACACTTCTGGCATACACAAAAAATCCTTCATTTGTGAATGACTAAGCTATTCATTTGAGTTGGAGGTGAGTACACATGTATGAACATACACTTTGAACTGAAAAAAAAACAACCTACAATCAAAAGCAGTGATCAAATATACCAAATGTATTCTGAGTATCTGGGTTTTTTTAGATCATTGTAAAAAAGGAATGAATTCCCTTTTGTAAAGTTACATGTTTTATTTGTTTTGTTTTTCCCACACTTTTTTCTGTGGTGAAAATGATATTTTCCTTTCAGGTGACAGCTCTCCACCTGCAGAAACTGTTGAGAAAATCAAGGACTTGACGGCTGAGCTACTGACACTGAAACCTTCCTCAGTCATAGCCAAAGTGGGTTCAGCGTTTCAAGCCATCAGGCTCCGAAATGGGATGCAGGCTAGAGATTTTCTTCAAGGTAATTTGTATTGGCTCAGTTTGACACCCAGTAGACACAATGTGGGAGACAACATTCTTTGCCAGAGTTAGGCATTGTCCCTCACTTGCTTTCTCAAAATGCTTCGTTGGGATTATTTGTGTGTTAGTTTAATTGTCTATAGAACTGACTGATGTCATATAATTATATATATTTGTGGTCTGATTGTTGGTGGGCTTTTTGCTGTCATAAGGTCTGCTTCTTGACAGTGTTTCTTTTGCCATAGTATGTTGCTGGTGAAATGTGGCTGGCTGTAAACCACAATTCTACTCCACTGCATATAATTATATCATTCCCATAATAAGTATAAATCTTTTATTTTGTGAACATATTTCCAATCTCTCTTTTCAGATGCAAATGATGAGTGTATAAGTGGACTGTACTACCTGAGCAGGGCTCACCTCTGTCTGCATTCCTATGAGAAATGCCTTAGAGTTTGCGAAAAAGGTATGTCTCAGCTTAGCTGTTTATGCTAGACTTGTGTCCAGTAAGGAACATCTGTGCTCTTTCAAGGACTCGGACTGCATGGCAAACAATGTTTGTATTGATGTAAAATTATGTTCCATTTTTTCTTTGAATTTTACAAATGCCTAAATGAAGGGGTTTTTTAAAACTCCAATTATAGATCACTCTATTTTATAGTTGGAAAAAGTATCAGATGTTAGAAAGGACAGAATGGATAGGCTTGTGCTCCTGCAAAGAAATACATGCTGAGACCTCTTGAGATGAAATATTTTTGTCATTGCTCTGAATACGCTGCGACAAGAACTGCAACTGCTCAAAATCTCAAAAACAACAAAATAACCAGTTAATAATGACCACTTCACCTCCCTCTCCCCAACCCCCAGGCATAGCAGCGTGTAACTCCGCCCGGCGTGTCCTGTGTGCCCCTACCTCAAGTGTCGTGCGTCAGTTCCAGCTGGTTCAGGCCGCTGCCCACAGGGAGATCGGCACGGCTGATGCCTTTGAGAAAGCACTGGCTATCCTGGACGAGGTGGGGTTGTTTTTTTTTGACAGGGATTCATTCATGTCTTTTTATTAAAATGTTCTAAAGGCGTATTGCAAGAGGACGCTCACCAGTACGTTCTACTCTGTTGTTTTTATCTGTCTGGCTGTCTCTCTTTTCCTGTTCTAATGGCCTTTTATCTTGTATATATATGTTTTTTCCTGAGATTGACTCAGATTTACAGACAGCATTCATTTTATTTTTACAGTAACAAATTAAGCTGAAGTGCACTATAAAGCTTTTTACCCAGCTGCAAGGATGGCCTGAGATTTGTAATCAGAAGACATTTTGTATAGGGTGTGTCCATTGATAGTCATTATGGGTACTTAATTAATATTATCATTTTAAAAAATCTTTTTGATTAACACTACATAAACAAGTTTACGCAAATTTTCCAGTTATTGAGTGATCAAGTAAAGTCCTTATGAAGTTGTCAGGTAATTTTAATCTTATTTGCTGTTAAAGTTGCTTTTTTCCCATATTTACATCCTGTTTCAAAATGAAACAGCTATTGTGTAATCAAGGAAAGTCCTTATGAAGTTGTCAGGTAATTTTAATTTGGCTTGCTGTAATGGTCCTACTTTTGTAAGTTGCATTTTCCCCTTATTTACATCCGGTTGCAAAATCAAACAGCTATTGTGTGATCTAGTAGAGTCTCTATAAAGTTTTCAGGTAATTTTAGTCTAGCTCGCTGTAATGGACCTGTGTTTTTTTTTAGTTCTATTTTCCCCACATTAGCATCCCGTGGCAGAGATCTCCTGCTTCTGTGTTGAGACATCAGTCGCTCACATCAATGTCTTCCTAACCCCACAGGTTCAGGAACAGTTCCCAGCGCAAGCATCTCTCACCAGAGCTTACATCAAGCTGGATCAAGGGGAGCTGGAAGATGCTGAGGTGAGTCGCCAAATACAACAGATTTTGAAAATGAGACGATAAAGGAAAGTGGGAAAGAATTTGAAATTATATTCTGGCTCTGATACATTTATTTTCTAAGCTGTGTGTTCATCAGCCTGACTGGGCAGTGTCTGTTGTTGAATGTATTTCCGGAAATGTCTCATTTCAAATGACTCTGCTTTTCGTATTGTCAGGAATGTGCAAAGAATTTGCCAGCGGACCAGAACTCATCGAAGATCTTGAGAGCCCTCATCCAAGTTGAAAAAGGACAGCAAACTGAAGCTTTGAAACAGTAAGTCAAAAAGGCCATTTTCTAGTTACATTAAGAAATTTTTAAAGCTTTAAATTAAACAACTTTCCTAGCCTGTGCAAATTTTGTATCCGATTACCTTTTCAACTTGAAAATTAGAGGAGAAAAAACCTCACCTTTTGTAGGTTTCATTTAAGTTGAGGAAGCATAAAGATTTCCTGTTTGAAATTTAAGGTTATGTTTTACAACTGATTTTTCTTCATTTCTATTTTATGTATATATATATATATATATATTGCAACAGTAGAGTTTTGTAAACGTTTTATACCCTTCTGTATGCAATGTAAGCCATTTTGAATGTGGTTCTCTTTAACCTGAAGCGTGTGATTGTGTACTGGAGAATCAAAACATTATTTGTTCGAGAACGAGGAAGAAGAAAGAAGAAAACATTATTTTTCCTTGTATTCAAAGACTGCAAGACGCAGTGGCGAGTGATCCAGAGGATGCTGTGGCCACGCTGCAGCTAGGAAAACTACTGTGGGAACTGAGAGACTCCAAGGAAATGAACCTCAACATACAGCAGTGTTTTACCACTTTGCTTAAGGTTAGTGGGTCTCTTTGGGTGAGTTTTGTTCGATCTCAGAGCTAAAACTCTTTCTCATAATACATGGGCAACTTACTCTGATATTGTAATAAGTAAGAAAGTCAGAAGTCATCTCAAGCCTTCAGCATTGTTAGATTTTTCCAGGAAACGGGGAGTTTTTTTAGTCTTACACTGTATGTGCGTGTAAAATATTGATCACAAAGTGCTAAAAAAATTTAGCCTCTGCAGTGGCCTCTCTTAACAGTCCAATTTTCTCTATCTCGTGATTTTTTTGTTTTGACTTCTCTACTATCTAAGGTTCCTTTTGTCTTTGTCCATTTTGAGTGTATCATTTAACATATATATTTCAGGCTGCGAAGCTGGATCCCTACAATTATGAGAGTTTCCTTTACATCGGTCACTTCTACAAGCTAGTACAGGGAGATGCAGTGTGAGTACTCAAAGATTATCTCTTTTTCCATTACAGTTGTTGTTTTTTAAAATTATTATTATTGTTGTTTTTATTTTTACTATTATTATAGGCATAGATGATTTTATTGTCGTTGTCATAGTAGGTGTAAGTCTCAAACCAAGTCTTTGAGAGAGGGCTTGTATTATTTGTGAGGCAGCGTGGTGGAATCAGGCTCTCGTCAATTTTTGT